CTTTCTCCTCCCTGTACTATGGATATGATGGCTGGAACTCCAGCAGCCATGTTGGACTATGAGGTAATTTTGATGATAGAAGACAGCAATGAGAATGGTATAGAAACCTGAAGTCTGGGTTCCTGAGGGAATTGTGTGGATCTGCCTACTCCCAAACTTCTTTGGCATAAGAGATAAATAAATTAATTTGTTCAAGCCACTGTTATTTTGAACTTCTGAATATGTAGATGGCCCTGGTATTGCTATAATCAAAGAAAGCTAGAATTGTAGACGTCACTTTTTCTGAAAACAGGATAAACTAGAAAATAATAATAATAATAATTTTAAAAAATCTATTTGGGATTTGAAATGTGTCTTTCTATCTAATTAAAGCTAGAAAACTAAATATTCTGTTTAAAGAGGATTCAAAACTATAATTTTAAATTTCTTTAGAAACAACATAGATCATTATATATGAAAACATATTAGATATAGCCAGATATTAGATATACTCAGAAGAAAGTTCACAGCCCCAAGCACTTTTTATAAGAAGGAAAGAATGACAATAAATAAGTTAGCAGTCAATGAAAAAACAAAAACAACCCTACTACAAACAGATGAAGGAGGCCAAAAGATTATTATAAAAACAAAAATGGATAAATTAGAAAGGAAAAACAGAAGAAATGATAAAAACACCCAAGAACTAATTCCTAGACACAAGCCTCACAAATCTAGTTATTTTAATAAAAAAAGATGGAGGTGAGAAGTAGGGACAAGACTCAAAATCAATCCAAATGAAAAAAAATCATTAAAAACATCAATATTCAAAACTTTCTACAACAAAGACACCAGAGGGTAAAAGGGAAAGAGCTGGGAGAAGAGAGTTGCAATATATGTAATTCAAAGGATCAGTATCTAAAATATATAGAAGAAAACTTTCAAATAATTAGGAAAATACAGCCAGTGGAAGAATGGCCAAAAGATGTGAACAGGAAATTCACAGAAGAAGAAATATAAATGGCCAATAAATACTTGAAAAGAAACATAATCTTTTTGGTGTTCAGGGAAATAAAAAATTAAAACCATAATGAGATGCTACCTTTCTCCCATCAGACTGGGAAAAAAACCATAAAAATAAGAATACCAGTGTGACAAAGGAATGATGAAATCTAAGCTCTCTGAAGGGAAATTTGGCAAAGCTATCAAAATTTAAGTGTACACACAAAGCCACTTACATAGCAAATTCACTTTCTAGAATGGGCCCTTAAGAAATCCTCATACTTGTGCAAAAAGAGCTTTATAAGGATTTTTCACAGCACTGTTATTACTAATTAGCAAAGAATCAGAAACAATTTAAATCCATCACTAAAGGAGAGAATACTAGTCAGCTGGAAAAACAAACAAATGAATGAATGAAAGAAAATGAATGAAAAAGATCTTTATGTAGCCAAACTGCTATGTGTAATCAGCTAATTGTAGATATATAAGTATACTGTTATACTGTATTACAAAAATACAAAACAAAAATAATAGTTCAAATGATTAATTAATTCATACATATGCAAATATGTAGGGAAGAAGCCCGAAAGTTCATACCCAACAACTAAGGTTACTCCTGGGAGCAGATTTGGGGTTGAGGGTGTCAGAGGAACTTTTAGTTTTTGGTAGGTTTTTTTTTTTTGGTATTGTTTGAATTTTGAGCGGAGAGAACATATTCATATATTACTTGCATAAATTTTAAAGTAGTCTTTAAAAAAATCTTGGTGGTAATTTTGAATTCCAAGAACATATTCATGTATTACTTGTATAATTCTATAAAATATACAGAGGAAAAAATTTTAATCCTTAGGGTATTTCTGAACTCCAAAGATAAAGAGAAAAAAAATACCAAAGGATCCCAAGGTGGGGGCGGGGTAGTTTACCTACAAAGGAAAAGAGAATCGGGCCAACTACTTGCTGTTTATGTATGAGAAGGACAAAAAGACATTTCCAGATATTCAAGGACTCACAAAGTGTATTGCACACACGCTCTGAACATTATTCAAGGACTTTAGCCAAAGGGAAAGAACACACACACACACGTGAAATGTGTAAATAATTGTGAGGCTTACTACACCTGCTAGGTAGTTTTTGCTAAGCTAAACTTTCCCAGAAACGTGTCCATTTCTTCTAAGTCTTCAAATTTTTTGCCCCAGACTTTTCAATGCATTCTGATCTTTTAAACTTCTTTTGTATCTATAGTTATTGTAGTTTTTATTCCTAATGTTGTTTATTTGCATCTTCTCTCATCTTTCTTGCTCACTGTTGCCAGAAATGTCTATTTAATTAGTTTCTTCATAGAAACTAGGAATTTATTGTCAACATCAAAAAATATATATGCACAAGATTATCCATTCTTGTATTCTTTATATTGGAAATAACCTAAATGTCCATATATAAAAAATTAGCTGATTAAATTATGGTACTTCTACATAGTAGACTATTATGTAGCTATTAAAAATAAAAGAATGTTGTGAAATTGTGCAGTTTAGGTAAACATCCGGTTCTTTTATTTTTGTACAGTAGATTTCCAGCATTAGAACCATGTAGAATAAATATACTAGATGTTAAAGACTATACAATAAAGGAACTTGGCAAACCAAAATAAATAAATACACACATAAATAAATAAATAAATAAAAGAATGAAGAAGATGTCTATAAAATGATATACTGTGATTTCTAGGATATATTCCTAAGTAAAACAAACAAACAAACAAACAAAACACTGTGCAAAATAATTATATAGTTTGTTTATTTTCACAAAAGAAATAGGAAGAATAAAATTATTTACTTACAGAGGATGGGTGGAAAGAAGGTAGAAAGGACAGAGAGAGGAATGAAACTTCTATTATGAGTTTTTATATAGCTTTGACTTTTGAATTATGTTGATATTTTACATACTTCCAAAAATAAAACTATAAGAATGGGAAACAACTGAAATTGAATGGCAACAGAAATGAATAAACCTAACTACATATCAAATAAATAACATAAACACAACAGAAGAAAAAATTCAAACAACTTTTAAACATGGTTCTCTGATTGCATACTCTTGGTAGGATATATTCAGCAGACAAAAAGAACTTCAAAGAACTTCACTTAATACATTTTGGGGGAGCGGTAATGACACAGCAATTCTGAAAGTCTTTTATTTATATCTACAAGATTTAGTGAGTGAACAAATATATTGTTGGATTCTCATTCAGGGAGAAGGGAGACATATATGGAATGAAAGAACTGTGAGATGTTGGACTGAAATTAGAGGTATAGTACAAACTCATTATTTTTCAAAAGTTGTACCTCCTAGCTCCATCTACTAATATGGCCTAGCAGCAATGACACTCTGGGACAATAAGCACACCCAGAATCCAGACTTTGGTTTCTAAATACCATTATCCTCTGGGCTCTTTGGAGAAAAGGATGATTCCAGGACTAGGGCAGAGAAACTACAAGATGAGTCTGGATTATCCATATCTTGTGCCAGAAAGTGTTGAAGTATTCAAAGAATAAGAAAGACATGTCAGACGGACACAGAAACTGCTTTAAATTGCTCCTATTGGTTAAATTTGGCACAATTTGTATATAAAAATGAATAACGACAAGTAAATTATTACCCACTGAATACAAAAAATACACAAGACCATACTCGTAATTTTAAAATACATTAAAGGAGGAGGCAGAAGGGAAATCTCATATTTATGGGAGGGTACCAACTATTAAACATAAAAGGAATGATAAATATGAAATATATAGGAAACTTTGAGACTAGGTAAATATCCTGTTTCCAATCAGTTTTTCATCCAGTGGTCATAACATTTGTTGGTCATTCTTGTCTGTTTTCAGTTGTAGGCTAACTTGAAGAAAACTACTGAAAACATTCACATATAGATCTTTGTGTAGACATGTGTATTCATTTCTCTTGAAGTAAGGACCTAAAATTAGGATTGCTGGCTCACATTGTAAGTGTATGTTTAGCTTTATGAGAGACTGTAATACCATGCTATACACACCCCTGCCCTGATTCTGATTCTAGAATCACACACTGCACTTAGTTTTTATTTCTTTAGCCTTTTAGGTATAATTCAAGAGAAATGAGAATATATATATCTTCTAAAAGACTTGCACAATCACGTTGAAAGCAACACTGTTTGGTGTGAACTCCATACTGTAAACAACCCAAATTTTCACGAACAGTAGGGTGGATAAAGAAATGTCAGTGTTGTTGTAACCACGGAATAGTATACAGCAATGAAAAACAAACTAATACCACATGTAACAATATGGATGAGTCTCACAAACAATTTTTAGTAAAAGAAGCCAAAGGCCAAAAAAAGCACATACTGATGATTCCATTTATATAAAGTTCAGTAAAGGCTAAATGAGAATATCATGAAGAAAGTCAGAAAAGTGGTTTCCTGTGGTGTGGGCGTGTGATGGGGAGGTTTCTGAGATGCTGCTTTTAATCTCTCAACCTAGCGCACTGTGTGAAAACCCACCAAGCTGCATATTCATTTCGATGAATGTACGTCCCTATACATCTATTTTACTCCAATATAAAAAAATTCAAGAGTATACTTAACCCCGATTCTAAAACAGAACAAAACGAAAACTGAATCCTTTGAGTTAATTTCAAACCTTAGTTTTCCAAAATCACCCTTACTTACCTACCTCCCCAGATTTGGGCGAAAACTTCCCTGCAACCAAACCAACGTGTGTCAGTGACAATAACGAGGACGTGCGCAGGGATGAAGGCACGTCGAGGCTGTGTTGGGTGTGCACTAGCACACCTTCTAGGGAAACGAGTTTGACAGGACAAATCAAGAAAATTACAAAGAAATGCATGCTAATTGATCCAGTAATTCCTTTCCAGGATTTTATTCTAAATCAATAACTCAGTCAAATCCTTATGATCCGTAATGTAAAGTTATACATTAAAACATTTTTTGGATAAAAAGAAATCCTTTGAAGGTAAATACTTACAATTGGCGTCCCGAAAGGAATGTAACCTGTGAGGGGAGAGAGAGAAGAGTCAGGCCTTATACTCCCATGAGCTCCGCCCCACAGGTCTCTCAACTGAGATTCCCCAGGAGACTTCTGGGCGTGGTCTTGGCAGTGGCCCCAGCGAGGGGGGCGGGTCAGTTAGGGGAGAGGTACACCTGTGGTCCCCAGACTTTTTCCCAGCTCAGCCCTCCCCAGCGGAGAGGGCTCCCCTGTGTCCCCCAGTCTCTCTCTCTGCTCCCCTTTGGCCAGTTTTCACTCCCCTCCAAAACCCAAGGCCCATTCCTGAAGGCACGGCTGCCCACTGCCCGGGCACCACCACTCCACACTTCCTTCACGAGGCACACGCGCCTGCCCACACTCACTACACACACTCAGACGTCTTCGAAGGCCCCAGGATGTCCTTCTTGCCTCAGCTTGTCTTTCTAGCATGCACCTTTACTTCCCTGGCATCATGACCATTTCTTGAAAAGAAATTCCCTGCCCTCCTGAGATGTGAACTATTAAGTGCCAGAGCTCTTTCCCTCTCTAGGACCCTGGCTAGGCATCCCCAGCAGAGCAGGACAGAGCTGGCGAGAAGCACAGTCTGGCCCTAGGTGCTGTTTCCTCACTGTTCATGGCCCCTAGTCCAAGGCAAGGCTCCTTTTACCATCGCCGCTGCTGTCCTCGGGCAGCCTGCTGTCCCCAGCCTCTAACTCATGGCAGCTGGTAGCTGGGTAGCTGCAAATCACACTTAGCTATCTGAGTTACACACATAAAGCAAAGGTTTGCATCCTGAGGGTGTGCAGCTGAGCATGCACAGGAGCCGTCACTCTCCTACCGGCATCCCTCTGGAGAGAGGTCCAAAGTTTGATTGGAGAATTAAAAGAGAAACCAGGCGCAGGGTGAGAGCCTGCTATGGCCTTGCCCAGGGACTGGGGAGCACCCACAGCCATGGCTCAAAGATGCTCGTAGCCTTTGCTTCCTTGGAATTCCTCACAGCAAGGTGAGGGTGTCACTGGGCAGTAATTACCCCAGTTTGCACAAGGAAGTCGCGTGGTTGTTCATTCTCTCGCCCCCATGAGGTTGGGTTGTCTGGGGCTGAGGACCATGGCTGACCTATCTGACTGAGAACACCCACTGGTAGAGACCCCTTCTCCAGCTTCCTGAGGACTTCCCGAGGCAGCACCTAGCAGGCGACCCACCCACCCTATCACTCGGGGGCGGTACACCAGCAGGGAGGCATCAACACAAGTGTGAGTCTGGCTCCGGGAAAGACCTGTGGCCCCTCAAAACTGTGGGCAGGCCAACCACAGCAGTCCCAGCCAGTGTGTATGCAAGTGCTTTCTAGGCTATTAGGTTCACACATACAGAACCATCCTAGGAACTAGAGGGCAGGGACTTCCCTGGGGGCAGGGACTTCCCGGGGGCAGGGCCTGCATACCTACTCTCTCCCTTTCCTCTGCCCCCACCCACTGGTCTCCAAAGAATGGGAGTTCGCCAACCCTGTGTGCACAGCGGGAGAAATACAGTGCAGACAATGAGAAGGAGAGGTTAATAGCAGGATCAGGGACCAAGGAGTTAGTCCGGAGGGTTAACTACAAGAAAGGGCTGAGCAGGGAGCAGGAGCTGGAAGGAAAGAGCACAGCATGCTCAGGCAGCAGAGAAGGGACCCCTCGAAGGCAGGCGTCCCCCTTAAGGCGAGTGGTGTAGAACCTGGGGCAGGGCACAGGCAGCGACCTGCAGAGGCCCCCGCTCCACCGCAGCTGCTCAGGTAGAAAAGGCACATTTTTAAAAAGCTCCAGGGGTGATTCCAAGGCCTGGCTAATCTTGTACGGTGGAGCCTAGGCTAAAATGCAGGTGCAAGTGTGACCGTGGGTGTAACAGGCTCCGTCCCCTCCTCAGGCCAGCACATCTAGACGTTCCTGGAACTGTGGCCATAGTAAGCGCCCCTGGCTGGGTAGAACCAGAAGGTCCCAGGGGCTTACCTGACATCCTAAAGGGCATGAAGATCTTCTCATTGGTGTCCGGGTGTAGAATAGCCTGGCAAGAGCAAGGAACAGAGCGCAGAGTGACAGTGGGAGAGGGACGGGGGACGTGGGAATAGGGAGGGATGGAGGCAGGAAAGGAGGGCTCCCCCAGGATGACTGAGATGACCAGTGAATGTATATTGCCTCTGGCTGGTCAGTCCTTTCCTACCATTCAGGGCAAGAGAAAACTAAAACATGGACCCCAAACAGCACTTATCCTCTGACTAATGCTCAAAGCCAAATGCAGGGAGGGTGGGACTCTGTCTACCTCGCAGGCACTCCGAACCTCCGTGCCTGGCACCCAGTAGGCACGTAATAGGGATTGTGCGGAAGGAGCCACAGGGATGGAGCTTAGGGGGCCCAGGGAAAGGTGAGCTGGCCTGAGCCCCAGCTGTCAGAAACTCAGGCCCTGGGTGCTGGGGGAGAAGGAAGGAGAGGGGTGGCCAGGACCAAAGGGCAGGGGAGAGACTGGACACACAACAGCCAAGGGTCCCCTGCACGGCGTGGGGCGGGGTCCACGAGGGCATGGAGCAGGGGAGGAAAAGAAGCCAAAGCTGGATTACCTGCTTGATTTTCTGTGCACTCCACAGCTGGAAGGGAGGGAGAGAGAAAGGGAAAAAAATAATAATAAAGGAAATAAATTAAAGCACATATCAACTGAAGGTCTCAAAGCCGCATTTTCTAACCAAGAGATCTAGCTGCAAAGGGCTTAAGAGGCTCAGGCTGCCCTGGCCGCCCCAGGTCGGGCAGCTGTCCTGAGGACGTGGCACCAGGGGCCCAGAACTGCAGAGCTGGGGGTCTCCTGCAGACCATCGAAACAAAGGGTTCTCAACTCTGGCTGCTGCACCATTACTTCGAGAAGTCTTCCAGCATGTCTCCAAAGCTTCCCAGCTGATTCTAATGGAGGACTAGATACGAAGCCTGATTTTTTTTTTTTATTGTTTCTGCTGTTACAGTTGTCCCAATTTCCTTTCCCCTCCACCCCCTCTGCCCAGCCTGCCCCCGACTCCGCAGAAGCAGCCTGATTTAAATGGAGATCCTTCAACTGTCTCCCAGCATCTCTAGAGGCAGCAGAGACTGGCGTGGCAGAGCCAGGCAGACCGCCCGCGTTCCCCTCTGCCGCTCCTGCCTCTGCGGCCCACTTGCATCGTCTGCAAAATGGGGATAGTAGCTGTGCCGCTACCATTGGAGGCCCAGCTACCAGAGGAGGCTACCATTGTTGGAAAATACATATGAAAAGTGCCTGGAGCAGCGCTGGGTGCACAGTAGGTGCTTTATAACTGCTTACTGCTGTAGCTATTATTATTCCTATTGTTCTTATAAGAAGGCTGTAGGGAGAAGAAAGTTGCTTTCAAATGAGTGGTAAAGTCGTCTCTCTTCAGCACAAGTGTGCGCGTGGCACCGGCTGGAGAGACAGAACAATCTGTCAGTTCCTTCAAATGATATAAATACTGTATTTCATTGAATTTAAGACATCATGAATCCTAAGACACTATTATGTGCCACTAAGTAAGAAAACAATGACATAATGCCAAGACCAACATCAATAAAAAGACTCATCCCGTTTAAGAGATGTTAAAAATGTGATAAAGAGAGGACTTTTGGAATCAAGAAAACACAGTAAGGAAAAATTTACATTGCGGGCAAATGAAGGGCCAGTGCATTTTTAATGAAGCAAGAAGGGTATGAGGGGAGAGAGAAGATGTGGCCAGCCGTTGATGCTTAGTTTTATAACAGAATAGTTGAGTTATGCTTCATGTATATGGCAATGTTGTTGTCTGGAATATAAATTAAGTTGCAGAAGGCTACAGGGTAGCAAAAATAGAAGTTATAAAATTGATATATTAAAGTTTATGCATTTTACTCACAGCGCAGTCCCTCAAGCCTTAATTCACAGCCTAATTACTCTTATTTTAGATACATTTCAAACATATTTGATTGTCTGCTATTCCAGGAAGATTGGAAGCAGTAGATTTTTAAAAAATAATAATTGGGGAACAGAAGGGACTGAAGCAAGAAAAACCAAATGCAGGATCACTGTTCGCCAAAAGAGGTAAGTGAGAGCATACAGCAAAGATATAAAAAAAAATTTTTTTTTAAATAAAAGATGAAAGGATGACCCTTCTTTGCTGAGACGTACCCCATGAGGGGCACACCCCAGGCCCAGAACCATTTCAGGGGCGAGCCTTTCAGCGCTGTTCCCCGGCCTCTCCCCGCCACAGCGCTGGCCACAGAGAAAACCTAGAGCTATTCTAAAATTAAAATTTTAAAATTAAATTTTTTTTTAAACTCAGGATTTCTTCATACAGTTCTTCAAAAAAAATTCCCCATGATTCTGATGAACGGCATGGGCAGAAAACAGTGGCCTAAGACACCAAAGGACAGTGTAAAGAGGGGGCGTTAGAGCCAGGCAGGCCTGTGTTCAAAACACTTACTGGAGGCGTGACCCTGGGTGAGTTACAGTGCCCTGTGACTCAATTTCTCCGTCAGTGAAACGGGCTGTGTAAGGGTAGGGCAGATGCTCGGTGCTCCCTGGCAGTTTGCGTTTCCCTGTGGGCACACAGCCAAGCCTACACTTCCCAGCACCGCCCCCCGCAGTCAGGTGGACCACCCACATGACCAGGCGCTGGCTAATGGGCTGTGGGAGACGGTGATGTTTGCCTCCCACAGAGAGTCCAGGGGAGAAGGATGAGGCCCTAGAAGTCAGTAAAGCCACCAAGCGAAAGGAGCTGGGTCCCTGGACAATGGCACATGCCAAGTCCCTGAGCTGCACTGGAACACTGACGTGAGAGAGAAGCAAACCTCACTGCCTAAGTCCCTGGACTCTGGGGATTGTTTGCTACCCCGCTTGGCTTACCCTGACTCATACAGAGGTTTAAATGAGACATGCATATCTAGTTGGCCCATACGACATGCTCTGTAAATGCCTGAAACAGAGGGACAGTCATTCAAATGAGCAATATCTTTAATGGACTTCATTATTTTTTAAAGTAACTTTCTGTCTATTGTCTTATTCCTACAACACGCCTGAGAGGTGAGTAGATTATTGCCGGCCAGGCCAGGGGCAGGAGAGGAGGAAGAGGACTGGCTGACAGCTCCCCAAGGGCCAGAGCCCCTTGTAGCCCGGCAGCAGATGCTCCTCGCCAGTACCTGTTCCTGCCCTCCCACCGAAGTCCAGCCCAGCAGCCCTTGTAGTCCACAGTGGCACCTGTGATCCTCAGGTACAAGGGCGGCCTCCTCTACCTCCACCCAGGGAGCAGCGATGGAGAGTCAGGCAGATGCTGGCTTATCAGCAAAGGCAGGAGTTCGGCAGGGCTCTCAGCAGGCAAGGCCAGGAACCTGGAGCTCACAGACCCCTCCCCTCAGTGACACCACCATACACGTGGCCCAGGCAGGCTGGTGTCACAGTGAGGAGCAATGGTAAAATCTCACATGACAGATAATTCCATGCTTTTCTATATTGCTGAGTACTTTCCCACAGCAGCACTGGGATTTGAACTCAAGCAGTCTGGCTCAGAATCCCCACTTCTTAATCACCACATGCCCCTCTCTCCGAAGCTAACACAGCAAATGCACGCCGATCTGTCCCTTTGGGCGTCTAAAACATTTGGGCGATCTTTCCACATCCACACACCGAGAGCACCTTATTCTTCCTAAAAGAAACCTCAAACGAATATATTGTATATTGTAAACCGTACCCTGTTAGTGGACTTTTAGGCTAGCTCCTTCCTTTTTTTATTGTGGTAAAATATACATAATATAAAGTTTACCACTTTACCCATTTTTCAGTGGCAGTTCTATGGCAGTCAGTGCGTTCCCACTGCTGCACAGCCATCACCAGCTCCGTCCAGACCTTCTTCGTCTCACTCAACTGAACTCCGTGCTCCGTTCTCCCCGCCCGCCCCTCCTCCCCCAGCTCCTGTCAACCACTCGTCTTCCTGCCTCTGGGCATCTGACCGCTCAAGATATCTCATATAAGTGGAATCGCACAGTATTTGTCCTTTGTCACTCTCCCATCTTTTATTGTTACAACCATGCTCCAGCGACTTCACCCGGAGCTCTCATTATTATATCATTAGTTTTTTTAAAAAAAGGATAAATGTGTTCCGATAAATCTGGCAGGACACAGGAAAAAACTAATGCTTACTCTAGAGGGAGGCAGTGGGCAATTGCGGGACAGGGAAAGAGAAACTTGTTTTTTATTCTCTTCCTGTTTTTTTAATATCTTTTGAATTCTGTAGACTGTTCATATGTTTTTTTAAACTATTTTAAACAAAAAGAATTGTTTTAAAATATCAAGAGTGACCACTGAAAAATAGATATAGGGTGCACAGCTTCTAAGTTTTTTATTGACCTCTATGGCACAAACTGTTTTCTGTCCAACAAAATCTATGTCTCCTTCTTCTAACTCTTCCAAGGTAATAGAACAGAGTGGGCAGGTAGCTGACCTGCTGCACCACATTTCCAGCCTCCTTTGCAGAGCAAGTGGCTGACCTGCTGTACTACATCTCCCAGCTTCCTTTGCAGTTAGGCTTATCCACGTGACAGAGACCCCAGTGGCATGGGATGGGAAGTGAGATGTGCCTTCCCCTAGCCAGGGCCTCCCATTCCGTGCTTACTGTTCCTCTCCTGTGAGCCGGAGCCAGGTTGTAGCTGCAGCCCAGCCTGCACCGTGCAGAGGACAACCCAAGGAGATGGCGGAGAAACATGAGGGAAGGAACCTGGGTCCCTGAATGGTCCTGGGGAGCACAGCCACCTGCCCACCTGAAACATGAACTGTTACATGGGCGAGAAATAAACTTCTATGTTATTTGAGCTGGTGCATTTTGGGATCTTTTTATTACAGCAGTTAGTATAACTCTGACTAAGATAAACCATTTGGGGAACCACCTCCCATGATATCAGGGAAGCCTTCCGGAGGCGGGAAGAAGGAATGAAAGCTAAGATAGTGTGTGAGGCTTTTCTCACTTAGCAATGCTCGCGCCTCAGGGGGGTATGAGGCAAGGTGGGAGGGCCAACTCCGCTTTAAACTAAAACTCCTAGCCGTGACCTGATCTCGTTCAGGCTCACCCCATCTCCAGACTGTAGCGACAATAGTCAGGGTCCCAAATTTTGGCCCTGGTCCAGCCACTAATTTACATGGTCTTCCTGTGCAAGTCACCACACACCTTAGACTTACACCGATTTTTAAATTAAGGGAGGAGAAGGGGCAGAAGTGGAGGCAAGTCTTTCCAGGGCCCCTCCCTGTCTGATGATGCCAGGCCCAGTTTGTAGAGAGGGCTGAGAGGGACTTGGGTCTGACTCCCAGGTTTGGGCTTTTTCCTGGGACCTGCGGGACCCGTGAGTCGGATGCTGGATGCAACGATGGCAGCAGTTATTGCCCACAAGCCAAGAGCTGGTTGCTAGTTTAAAGTTTCATGAGCCAGTCCTGCAGACAGGTTACAGATGGGATGTAAAGCATTCAATGGGAGTCCAAAAGAGATGCTGTAGACGGTCCATCCACACTGGGAATCTAGGACAGCGAGCCCCCAGCGTCTTCTTGGCAGCCTGCTGAAGCAGCTCCACTTTAAACTAACTCCTCGGCGTGACC